CCCCCCCTTTGGGAATGGCCTTAAGAAAACTTCAGTCAAACCCGGGGGGTTTTTTTTTTTTGGGGGGGGGGTTGGATGTAAGAAGAGATTACAAGGACGATAGATGTTTGATAGGAGAGGTGGAACAAACCACACCCGAGCACCCGCCAACCTCTCACAACCCTGACTAAAATAAAACTAAGACTAAAAGTAAATCGAAGATGACAAAGAGAGTTACATAACCACTACACCGCTCTGACCCCTGTTTACCACAATAATAGTGGCACCTGCCACCACTTGTTATATGTATCACTGTATTGTCCTTTATCTGTCTCTCAGTCCCAGATAAAACTTTCTAAAAGAGGCATAGGATAGGCGAAAAATAACTCGGACAGCTATTTTCTACGTAGGCAGTGTACCCAACCGTGGTTACTTAACCCTCCGCATGCCCTGTGGTCATTTTGTATTCTTCACATTGTAGAATACTTCAAGTACGAAGAAGATCTCTTTGAAACTTTCAGTGTTTCTTTAAAAAAATCATTTTGACAGACTGCTATGCAAAGCGTATGGATCCGATTAACGAGTAAATTTCCTCTTTGGAAAGTGGGGGTACAGAGTTGCCCACGTCGTGTGGATACGACAGTAAAACACGACGTACGGAAAGGGTTAACTTTAACAAATACTTTTTTGTCCGTCCTCTCACCTCATGTATGTAAGAAGGACTATTCCTGACTGTCCATCACCTCCCCCCCCCCCTTCCCCCACGCCCACCAATCTAATGCTGCCCAAACGTGCGTAAAGAAAAGAAAGAAGAAACGCCACAGAGATAAAGAGAACGAAAATCGTGACCCTGAGTGATGGGTCAAAGGTTACCCACGAAGTCTGATGTCAGCGCGGGTAAACAGGAGCAGGGGGGAGGAGAGGGGGGGAGGGGAGGATACTGATGACTGAGGAAAACCTCGTCCCCCAAGACTGGGAATGGGAGGGGGTGGAGGGGGGAGGGGGGGCACACATTACAGAAGCCTGCGCAGATCGGAGAAGCTGCGCTATTTTTAGCGTTAATGTTATTGTCACGATCATAGCGGAAATACGCCTGAGCCAACCAGCGTCGCGCTTTGGACGGCACAAGTGGGTCAAGTGATGACGCACGCGGGGGATTCCTCCACCAACCATCACGGAAACGGAGGGGGGCGAGCGAAGGAAGGACGGACGTACTGGTTCGTTCGTTGTTGGCCGCACACACACGCACACGAATAATTGCTGTGCACAAATTCGTGGCAAACACGGACGGAGAAGGGAGGACAAGGTCTCCAATGAAAGAAAACTGAACTTGAATTCTGCAGGGGAAGAGTGAAGAGTGTTATACAGTGTCTCTGTCGGTATTTATGCAAGTGTTGTAGAATTAAATTGTAGGCTACGCGTAGGTAACAGGTTAGAGGAACTAGATCTAGATCTAGTAACATACATCGTTCGCGTGTTCTTTACGGGGAGCAGAGAGGGAAATATTCACACACCTGTTGTTGGTTGGAACACCTCTCGAGGATTATTATAGTTGGACTTGGACGAGGGTCATTATTTTACCATCATCATGATTCGCAACCGCCAAAAGCCCGGATTTTACCACACGGAGCTGGTCAGTGTTTCTTGGGATGTGCCCGTGAGGTACAAGAGGCTGTGTCCGGTGGGCAGCGGCGCTTATGGACAAGTCTGGTAAGGACATTTCAATTAAAAATATTTTCTCCTTGTTGTGTCGAGTCGAGGTTCCCGTTTTAGGTCGGTTTCGACCGTTTAGGGGTCATATTATAAACTGATTATTACTATTATTTATTAGTAATAGCAGCTGAATATTATTATTATTACTAATTATTAGATAGATTCTAGATAGTTTCTGTACTTTTTCCTTGTTTCTGGCATATGTTACCAGAGATGGTTTACAGCAAGCAACATCACTGTGCTACTGTAAAACTCTTTGATGTTACCTTGTAGTGTCGAGGGGAGAAATCTAAGCAAGCTTAGACTCTACATCTTTCTCTTGTTTGTTATATCGCGTGTTGCGTGGAAAATAAATAGTATGTCTTTTTGTCTAATTTTAAATATTAATGGTAATGTTTCCCTTCCCCCATCCCCCATCTTTTTTCTTGGGCCGGTTTTATACACATGTCTTTTACTTTTAGTCTAATTAGTGATACTGTTTCTCTCACGCC